GGCAGGACTAGAACTCACCGTCTCCTGATTTCTACCTGGTGCCTTCACCACTATGCCAAACTGGCTCTCAATGACTTTTTAAGGAGCCATAAAACTTCCTTCCAGTTGCCTGGAGTCTCCCCTATGCTACATCTACATAACTGAACTGCAAACGTTGGCCTGGCCACAAGATGGCAGAAAACAGCCAGTTTTATGCTGTCTTTTTCAGCTTGCCTGCCCCCTAGGAGTTGTCTGGATCTTTACAGCCCAGATGTGAAGGCCCTTCCCTATGTCAAAGCAGACTTCACCTAAAGTCCCCCCAGCTAGCTTGTATAAACAGATGCTGTGCTTCCAACTTCCAGCTGAAATTCAACCCTTCAGCTGTTCAAGGAGGGAGTGGGGAGGGAAGGCCCATTGTTCCTGCCACGGAGTGGATCAATGGGATTTTTAAAGCTTTTTTTCTTCAAGGGTTACATTCCTGCCATTTCAGCTGTTCCCTGTAAGTCAGTTTCCCTGCTTCAGTCTGGCCATTTTATCAGGAGCCTTTGTCCAATGTGGACGCTATTTTCTTTCTGAGCACTGTAAGAATCCAAGGTCCTAAACAGTGGCTTTACCAGGGTTGTTGAACTACAGTTCCCAGTATCTCTTAGTACTGGCTATGTGGGCTGGCTCTGTTTGGAATGGTAGTTCAACAACATCTGGGGAGAGAGATCCACTCATCTTACAAACTTGGATATATGTCAATGTTTTTCATTCTTTAGGGTTCTTCTTTCATCTGTAATTTCTGTTGAAAGATAAGATTTACTTATTACAGAGTTTTCCCACCCCAGGTGACTTTCAGCTGGGTGGACTTCCCAGTTACCCTTCTTTACTGGCTGCAGTGGGGGCAGGGTGGTCACATTTCTAGCTGTTGGTGCAGAGAAAAGACATAATTAAAGAGATCTTTGATCTGATCCATCAGAGGCAATTCATATATCCAATGATACTACAGGTAGTCCTCGTTTAGCAACACAATTGGGACAGCAACTCAGTCATTAAGTGAAGTGGGCAAAGTGGTTAAATGAAACTGGGACTCTGCTTATGATCTTACTTCAGCTTTCCTTTGCTTTACAGACCTGCAAAGGTCATATATGTGAGGTTTGGTCACAAAGTTACTTTTTCATCACCGTAACTGTGAACAGTCACTAAATAAAGCAGTTACTAAACGAGGACTACCTGTGTTTTCAAGGAATAATGGAAGGAATTCAGGGAGTGGGTTCACATGACATGAATAAGATAAGTGGGAATGGCTAGTTTAAAGTACAGCTTCTTGTGAGAACTCAGCCATTAGAACCTGCATGTTGAACCAAGCTGCCACATCAAACCATAGCATGGTTTATGTTTTCAGGCTTTGCATTTTAGACGAAGAAAACTTTTTGGCTGTATTAATGCACTGTGTTTAGCACAATGCGTGAGTTTTAGAAGAGTATTAAGTGTTGGAAATTCCTGGATGGCATTTCTGGTTACAAACAAGATCTCTGATGGCAGGTCTAGGAAAGATTTCTGCCCCAAACCTTGGAAAGCATTGGAAAGCACCTAGAAAAATGCTGGGAGACAAAACTGAGCAAAGGTTTTCTGCAAAGTTAGAACATTTATCCCTCTGACCCAGATGACTCTTTGGAATGGCAGTATCTTTCTCAGAGATTCAGGGGAAGATCTTTTCCATGGCTTCTCCTCAGTCCTTTGTGTCTGATATCAGAGGGAAGTGAATGGGAATCTTAATGGAAATAAGGAGATGATCTACCACCGATCTTTCTTTCTTTCTTTCTTTCTTTCTTTCTTTCTTTCTTTCTTTCTTTCTTTCTTTCTTTCTTTCTTTCTTTCTTTCTTTCTTTCTTTCTTTCTTTCTTTCTT